TCTGTCAGAGGTTTTATGCAAAGGAGTGATGAAGCTTAATTTCCATTTATCTGGAAAAAATTTAAAGGTATAATGCCGCATTTATCGAATCCGGCCATTATATTTTTAGATTTGTTGTCTTCAATCGATTCTAATAGCTTCCTTAATAAACCTGGAAAGACGTTTTTAGGAATACCAGATTCCTTTCTTCCAGGTCCTTTTTTATAGAATTCAACAATCTTTCTCCATGCAACCTTCAATGGCTTGAAAAAGGCAACATCTAAGGGTTGCGTCAAGTGGGTGGAGTTGCTGGGTAAAAATATAAAAGTAATATTGTTCACTGAGCACTCTTGTATCGATTGTACTGATAGGTGCGACGATAAATTGTCACCAATTAATATCTTTTTGCCAGGCAACTTCTTCAAGTATGGTATGGCGATTGAATGTACCCAATCCTCGAAACAATAGCTGTCAAACCATCCCGATTTACTACGATTATATCTTGTACGGGGTGGCCCTCCAGTAGTCCAAGAGTAATACATGTTCAAGGCTTTGTAGACGACGTAGCATGGAAGTAAATCTCCACTACCAGAAGCAGCGAACATGATTGAAGTTGACGACTTACTGTGGTTCATAATTCGCTCCGGATATTTGCATCCCCTCTTTGCAATAATTTTTTTTCGTCCTGGGTCATCGCAAAGGTTGGTCTCATCGTAGTTTATGATGTTGCTGGCTGGAATACCTTCTAGTTCTTCAGAAAGGCGTTCGAAATACTCTGTTATTGTTACCCTCGTAACACCAGCCCGGGCTCGTTTTATATTTTGGCACATTCTCTCCGACAGCATATGCGAATGTCGTTTCAAAAAGCTATATGCGAACTCTTTACCAGGAAGATTGTCCTTGAAACGGGGCACCACCCTACCAGCTCTATTTAAATATTGTTGGATAACCAATCTTAAATCATAGGTATCTAAGGGGTAGCCCCACTCACTGCATGTAAGTAATTTTTCCGCAATACATTTCTCTTCGGCTTCACTTAACACTGTTTGACCTCCTTGTCTTTTAACATTCACATTTGCGAGGCGTCTTTGCAGAACGGTGTAAGGAATTTTGTGTTTTATAGCGGCTTGTCGAATACTATACCCGTTGTTATTAACATCATTTTTAGCCTCTTCAATGATGTTTGGATCAGGTTTCTTGTAAAGTTTTTGTCCTGCTTTGGGTTTATATTCTCTAGGTATTTTGATCCTATTGACCCCAGCCCTTGATCCTATTGACCCCAGCCCTTGATCCTATTGACCCCAGCTCTTGATCCTATTCACCTCGATAACCTGAAAATCGTGCAACGAAATAGAAAATATTTTTCAATTTTGTTTTTGCTTACGAATAAACTAAAATAATTTTGTGTGCCTTAGTTACTAACCTGTTGGAGTTAATTAGGCCAACTACTCTCAATATATGCTTCTCAAATTCGTATTTACAGACAAAGTTTTGGCGACAAAACAGATGACTGACAGTACTTCTAATTAAGGCCTGGTTTACAGTGCTACCAACTGCTGAATGATAAAATATTGGTAACCTTTATGAGATATAGAGTTAGGCAACCAATCAAACTCAAATAGAAAGCATTCATTACGATATTAAGGTTTCGGAAACTAAACTGATAAACTCCCTCTTTTTGATCCTATTCACCACAGCGAATCTATTCACCCCATTTTACGGTACCGAGTTTATTGGACTACCATATGATGAGACTGCAGAGAAGGAATACCGATGTGATTATTGTACCTAGTTGTTTCATGCATTTATTAGGTACCTACATGTTTTTACCAAAACCAAAAAAAGCATGCAAAGAATGAATTTTATTTTGTAAACCAAAAAAAGCATGCAAAAAATTAATTTTTTTTTTGTAAAATACCTACCTATATTTTCAATAAATATTTTTTCAATTGAGTAATTAAAATATTTTTTTCTACTACCGTGCGTAAAGTACTCACTTTACGCACTATTCAGAAGACGTAAAATTTCACTTCACGCACTAGTGCGTAAAGTAATTCACTTCACACACTAGTGCGTGATTGGATTTTTCAATTTTTCTGAGGTCCTTTTTTTTTAAGATTTCGGCTTTAAATCCCACAATAATTCACTATGGAGTGTCTGGAGTCCCAATTGAACGTCTGAAGTCGAAATCTTCACAAAAAAAAAATGAAATTTCACCATTCTGGAAGTAAAGCTTACTTTTCGTGCATCCGTTTTTCCGTCAATCTGTTAATCCGGAAGTATTCCTATTGGTCCAATATTTTGGCGTCAAAATATTGGACTAATAGGAATGCTTCCGGATCAACGATTTGACGGAAAAACGGATGCATAAAAAGTAAGCTTTAGACCCAAAGACCCCCCTTTGGAGATTGGAATAGGAATAATCATAACTTTTTTCAATCGTATAGATAGAAATTTTTGATCCTAGTAGAGATTCACAAACCGTGCAAAATTTTAACTCATTTGGACTTATACTTACTTATTCAGACTCTGAAAATAATGACCGAGACTTATCACAATCCTATGAACGCGGACTTATTCCAAAAAATGGGTTAGTCAACTTATTAGTCTAGGAGGTAGTGACGATTTTCGGTACTTATTTTCCCAGTCAGACAATATGGATAGAATTAATTGTAGGGTTAGTAATTCTAAGCAAAATACATATATTTTTAGGGGAGGCTTTCCGATGGGTTGAGGCACAAAATACGTTAAAGCTTACGAATGCATTTTTTCTCAGTGATAAAAATAGGTCTACCAATGAGAAGCATACTGAAGTTACGTAAAAAAATAGTCCGGCTAATCTGTGAGTATGGATGGCAAGTGAAAAATTGAAGATCCGAAAATTTTCAGCCAGACTCACTTCCACTATCTGAGATAAGCCAAATTACTATTTTCATATACTTTATGTTCTATTGTAGTAAATGTGAAATATTAATGTCTGGGAATATAAGCGTAGGTACTTGTATTTTTCATTGATCTTGTGAACCATTGTTGTGAACCCATCCGAAAATTTTAGCCAGACTCAAAAATTCTTGCTTTGTATCACCAGGAGAACAAACTATTTAATAGACACCAACTGGGAAAATAAGTGCTAAAAAATTCCACTGCATCCTGGACTATATCCTGCATTATGGAAATTTGAAGAGAAATGCATGGTAGTATTGATAGTCATATATGAATAATACCCTTAACCCTGCTCCATATAGCATTCAGAACTGGTAGATAAAATACCAACATTCTCTTCAAAAATAAGGCAAAATACAGGACTGATTCTAAAGAGATAACCTGATCTTGCTGTAACCCAAAAAAACAACTTAATCTATTCAAATTGAAAAGAAATTTCAAGATCTCCCGTGAAAACAGGACTATAGTATCGGAGAAATTCTTTTATGTTCATACACGTAATAATGATATACTTGAATATAGTTGCGCAAGTTCATACAAGTATACAGTAACGTGTGTTGGAAGATTTTTGAGCAAATTTCTAGATCTGTGCAAGTCTTCAGAAAGTATCAATTTTCCATTTCGGGATTTGCCCAAGTTTAATAATTCAACGTGTGTGGCATAAGGTGGTCCAAAGATTCCTATGAATGTGAGGGAGACACACGTGGTGAATAAAAATGAGAGTGAGTGAGACACGTGGAGCTGCTCCAAATTTCTATTTCATCTAAATTATATCGTTTAATAAAACTTGTGCCATGCCCGTATTATAATGCTTATTCATACTGAACGAGGTTAGGGTAGGGTGCCTTTTGTAAACTTTTTAATGTCTTCAAGTGGGGACTTGCAAATAGCACAATATGAAAAGAGAGTCATTAGAACCTTAGTTTGCACCAACACATACTCAAATTCACTGCTTCTCCATGATTCCTTCATCATCGTCATCTTACTAATCTTCGTTTTTTTCAGTGGTTTCACTGATATTTTCCTTTCCACTGAAGAAAGAATGTTGATGTAGGTACTCTTAGGATTATTCTCAAAAAGACTTATACCTACTTGTGAAACACTTCTTCACCTAGCTCACACTGAATATCTATTTTGTTCAGTCAATCAGTCTTCATTTGATTGATATTTTATTTAATGTGTGTCTATATTCATATATGTTGATCCAATAAATTATCAGGCCATGCATCAAGTGGAAACTCTTTGTTTAACTAACTGCATCTGAGATTCTATCACAAATTATTTAGATTTTTCCACCGGGATAGCTATTTTTGTTTGTTTAGTATTAAACAGGAAGACTCGGAATGGCAGACTAGCTTTTTCGGTAATCTTTAGTCTTTTTATCCGGTAGGAGTGATCTCATCAAATTATTTTCAAAATTCTCCATAATCCATAAAATGCAAACTAGATATACGTACCGCCATTATTTGAATTTGTAAAGAAATTTTTACGATTGATTCTATCTTTCCAGGATTTGTAACGTTATGGTTCTTTTTCCTTTCTAGGAAATTGATGGAGTGGAGTGTCACTAAAGAGTTTTTACGGTTGTGATTATAACCTACAACACAACAATTATAACCATTTTTAGTTTTATAAAACATTAGTAATACGTGTAAGAAACTTCCAAAAAAAAAAACGGAACGCTGCGATTTCGGCGGTTAGCAGCTGTTGTGACGTCGCAAGCTCGCGCATATCTTTACAAAAGCCAGCCATACAAGTCGGCTATAGCCCTCCTGTTCGGGTATGGAAAAAAGACAGTCCTAGAACGGTTCAAAACAATCGCACAGTTTATCAATTATCAAAAATGAAAACGGCTCGGCTATCACAAATTTCAATAATAAACTGTGCGTTTGTTTTGCACCATCATTCTACGTAGAACATGCTGTGGTAGAACCGTCCTTTATTCAAACCCGAACAGAGGGCTATCGCTACGTGTATGGCTCGCTTTTATGAAAATATGCGCCGGCTTGCGACGTCACACCAGCTGCCGCCGAAATCGCTCGCAGCCTTCCGTTCGTTTTCGTTCAGTCGTCACCGTGCCTTGAGCCGTTGCAATTCGCTTCGACCTTTATTTGTTTTGAAAGTTTTTTTATACGTGTTAAAACTGTTTTATAATGGTTAATTGTTGTGTTGAAGGTTGTAATCACAACCGTAAAAACTCTTCAGTGACACTCCATCAATTTCCTAGAAAGGAAAAAGAACCAGAACGTTACCAAGCCTGGAAGAATAGAATCAACCGTAAACATTTCTTTCCAAATTCAAATAATGTGGTATGTAGCTTGCATTTTACGGACGAAGATTTTGAAAACAAATTGATGAAAACACTGCTACCAGATAAAAATCTTAAAAGAATGCTGAAAAAGACTGCCGTTCCGAGTCTTTTGTTGGATAAGAAACAAACAAAAATAACTGTTCCTACTAGTGTGAGAAAATCTAGTCGAAAAAAAATTGAAGTACAATCTCAGATTGAGTTAGTTAAACAAGCGTTCCCACTTGATGCAATGCCTGATGAACCTATGGATATGGACAATCTTGACATTAAAGAAGATATCACTGAAATGACGATTGAAGAAGTAGGGATTCAGTGTGAACTAGGTAAAAAAGAGTTTCACAAGTATTCAATTGAGAATAATTCTCAGAAGAAATCGATACATTCTGCCTTCAGTGAGAAGGAAAGTATCAGTGAAACCACGGTAAAAAAAGAAGTTGACGATGATGAAGAAATTACCGAGGACAGTGAATTTGAGTATGTGTTGGTGCAAACTAAGCTTCTGATGCCTCTTTTTTCATTTTGTTCTATTTGCAAGTCCCCAGTTAAAGACATCAAAAAGTTTACAAAAGGCGCTGTATTGCATGTAAAGTATAAATGTCCCAATGGACATTGTCAGACATGGTCCTCCTCTGAAAATCCAGACAAATAAACAGTTTGTGGGACAATTTTGTTCAACTTTTATATTTTGCAAAAACTTCAATAAACTATTGATCTCTATTAGTGTATAAAAACTCTACCAAAATGACTAAAGACGTAATAAACTTTACTAAGAAATTAAGACCTCTAGTATGTTTTATTGCCTTTACTAAATCAGAGAATGTAACATGAAATTACATATATTTTAGAAGACATTTAATTCAGGTACCTACTGTCCGCTCCAGTTAAGAACACCGGTTAAAAAAATGTGAAGGATTTTAGTTCATAGAAAACATAGTATTGTCACGTACACTCACTACAAAAAAATTAGGTGTTTAATAATTGTTATTTGTTAACAAATTTGAGAATTAAAAGGCAGACGTTAAGGGAAAATGGAGTAGATTAGTAGACTTATGTAGGTACCTATGTTGTTTCTATTCCAGGCTCTTAAATTTCCTTTATGTAGAGATTAGAAATAAACAATTCAAGAGCCAGCAATAGACAGTAAACTTTGAGAATTGAAAAGCAGAAATATAGTGAAAATTGAGTAGATAAGTAGACCCTATGTACCTATATGTTGTTTCTATTCCAGGCTCTTGAAGTCTCTTTATGTAGAGATATTTAGAAGGAACAATTCAAGAGCCGGGAATAGACAAAAATTGAGATGGAAAAATTCAGGAACTTAGAGAAGAAATTTAAGGAAAATTTCTAAAAAGCAGAAGCACTGTTAGAAGAAAATCTTCATTCGACTATTCCACACATTTAATGGGTTTCCCTAGGTATATTTTCTGATATAAAGTAAAAGATTTCCTACATAAGGAAAGACTAGAACAACAAAAATTGCCGGGGTTCCAAAATAGAAGAACAAGAGATCTTATCTTCGCCTACCAAATACTCCACAACAAGATTCAAATAGTTAGACACCTCTATGCCTTGAACACAGACCAGAGACTCTGGGGTCACAGTGTCAAACTTAAAAAAGAACACTACTCCACAGTGTGTAGGGAGAACTTTCTACGAAACAGAGTCTTTGCCCCCTGGAATCAACTCCCAGCTAAAATAATTAGTGCTATTTCGATATCAGTATTGACAGTATTCAAGACAAAACTTGATAGTCAGTTCCTATAGTGCTTAAGCCAAAACAAACACTCAAAAACTATAATAGTTCTAAGAGAATTGATGATAAGTAACAGTGCAAAAATGGGCTTAGGACTAGATACTTATAGCAATTTTTTTACTGTTTCGATTAAGATTTATCAGAATATCCAGATTTTCCACTAGCTCTACACCATGAAAACTCTCATAAAAAAAAAGCTAAGGAATACCATCTTTCCCTCGATCTCACTCCTATATGTATTACAAGAAGACATCGGATAGAGTTGACCTAGAGGTCTTAAAAAAAGCAGTGCAAAATTCTCCAATTGACTCCACGATACGCCACGAACATCTTATTCATAACATCTACAGAAATGCAACATTGACAGTACATCTATAAGACAACACCCAATTATTAGGAAAGAATGCAAACAAGGAAAAATGATATCACCAGAACTCTTATTATTTTATTAGCAATAGAGGATGTAATCAAGATTGGTTACATGATATAAACACAGCTTATAAATATAAACCATTGATTGGCAAGGAAAAACACATACATATTCAAGTCTCCTCTTGGACATATTTGCATGTGGAATTTCTCAATGTCAAAATCAATATATCTCTGACTCTGAACTATATTAAACACATCATTGGGAAGAAGCTCTTCATATTATATAACACTCGTCCAGATCATCAAAAAAATGTCCGTAGGACTGTGCTTTACCTCTGTAAACTTTGTGAGGGAGAAATGATGCAATTTACAAAAACATATTTCTCCCCCATCCAGAGTAAAACTGGATATTTCCAATAACTATATTATCAAAATATGAACAATAATTACTATTCACCTCGAAGTCAGAACTGTAAAAAAATTTCCTGGGGATTTTTTAACTCAAAAAATAAAACAAAACAAATATACATCATATGCGATTTTAATTGCATTGCAAAGCGGTAATTACAAACTAAGAAGAATAAATAATACATTTTGCTATCAATATACAAGTGTGGATACAGATTTTTTAGCTTGAAACACTGACATTGCAAAAATTAACCCAGGGAGGGACAGAGAGAATAGAAATTTTATAAATTTGTTTTCTAAAAATACATAAAATACAAATAAAAATATTATATACAAAATTTAGCACACTTTTTTTTCTTTATGAAACAATTATATACACAATTATCAGAATAAATATATATTTTCAAATTAATTTAAAAGACATTTTATAACCAAAAAAATAATAACAAATTAACATAAAAAAAAAACATTTCTGTGTTGTCAATGTTTTTTTGAAAAAATCCATATTCAATGAGAGATTTTTCAATTAAAAATAGCAGTTACACTGTAAAGAAAATTCACAACCAATACAAAAAAAATGCTAAGTTGAGGGAAAACATGAAAAATTATCAGTTAAGTAAGTACTTTCTGTCAGCTACATACAATAATTAATATAATGGCAAATGGTAACGTAACTTAGAGTCAGATTCTTTTTTTTTTCAGTTGCAAATTTTGGTTATCAAATTGTATCATTTGAAAGATGTCTGACTCTAAACTATCCAACCACAGTTTTGTGTTTTTAAAGTGTGTGTATAAACCCGGTTCTATGTAAGTATCTAAAATGGCGGCGCACTCAATCACTTTGTTTAAATGCATCCTATTTCGTTTTCGAAAAAGAAAAGGTAGTAATGCATTTTTTTTTTCAATATATTTAATTATATAACACAATAAAAACTAGGATTTTTTCAGTCTTTAATAATATACAAATATACGCTTCGGGTTCGCCCTTTATATTTTGTCCGAAAAAATGTCCAACACTTTAAATATGTATATATTAGAAATAAATAACTGACCAGGAAAAATATAACATTTACAAGATTTTTTTGTTTAAATAGTTTTATCCTAAAATTATACAGGAACTAAAAATTAGTTGATAAAAGTCCTCTATATAATTTTAGAAACACACACAAATTGGTCATCTATGCTCGGGCGCATATTTAAAGGATTCCTACGTAACATATAAAAAACTGTACAAATCTTTTCTTTTCATTTAGTTTTAAATCGAAAATATCTAAAATAAATGTGACTATACTATAAATACCACTCGTTTACATCATTATCATAGGCCCAGATATTTACTTTTTTCTTGCAATAATGCCATTATTGCTTGAAAAAAATTAAACACAATAATAGTTTTAGGAATTATTATTAAAGGTACTCGATATTAGTGATTTTTCTGGCACCATTTATTTTTTTCGTTAAAATAAAACCTATAGAGAGCATTATGAAGTACAGCTAGTAGGGTGGTTTTAGAATTAATCCTCAAATATGTAAGGTGTTTGAGAAAGGAGAATAGATCATTGAAATAAACACATTATTGTACTAGTACGATAAAGATTACTTGTATGGATTGCAATATATGGATGGCTGTGGTGTATTATGTCTGTGTTGTTCGGTTTTGCTAGAACCGTGAAAGTGAATAGTTGTTTTAGACATTGATTAGTTACTTTTATTTTTGTAGTTTTATATGTTTGGGGTGCCATTGTTGACCAGGTGGGAAAAGTTAGAACATTAACTGACAGTTGAGATGAAATTTGATGTAACTTATCTCTGATATAACTATTGTCAAGGGGTTTAATTGAGAATTCGAGAGTCTAATTCAGTGTTAGTAAAGTAGGTAGTTTAAAGTTGAGCTGTTGTATTATTTACAACCCGGGCTGCAGACCTGTCTCGTGGTATCAGATATTTAGCCTGTTTCGTTCGGTACACCCTGTATAGTTTTTATCCATTATATCAAAATTTGACTGCCTTTTGGAAACCGCTATACAATATCACTTTCTTCAACTTCTACGCCTTTCTTCAACATCCAGATGATCCATCATGTTTCAACATTTTTGTAGTGATTTGGTCTTTCTCAGAGCATTTTCCGTTTTTCATTGGTTTCATATTGCATTGATTTTTTCTGTTTGATTTTTCATACAGGTAATAAAGATGTTCATATGGTTTGTCTGTCAGTTTCAATCTCTCCGATGTCTCTCTTCCAGGCAGGTATTTAATTTTTCATACTTATATTCTCGGGATTTAGTGAAAACTAGACCTATGTATATCCATATTATTCTAGTAATCATAATCCTTTCTGAAACACCCTTTATACAATAGTATTAGTTTTAATATCACAATTTTAGATTATCTACTCTAATTTATTAGTAATTCGTGTCCGATAAAATGTCAGACTTTTCATATTTATGAAAAGTAATTCTGGAATTATATTTTTTGTTATTTTTTTTTTCAATGAAAATTATAGCCTATGTACATAGCTGGACTATTAATGGAATGTTTGAGGCGATTTCAAGTTAATGACTACGTTTATTTGACACGTTGTATCCGAATACTAAGTGGATTAGGGATTATTAATCCATATTCGTCAACTATTGAATGGATTAAGATTAGTGCTAATCCTTTCTTAAGCCTTGTCGTTAATGTCTAACTTCATTAAATGCAACAATGATGAAAAATAGTTTTAATTATAAATTAAAAGGTAAATATTTTTTTCTTGACACCGGTTTTTCATCATCCTACAAATTTGGAGGATTGGATTAAGTACTCCGATCCAGATTATTTCTCTAATCCTGGGTGTTTATTTCAGGATTATCAATCCCTATTATTAATCCAATCCACTTCGTATCCAGATACAACACATGATTTAAACCTAGTCAATGTTGCTTTAGTTTTTTCAGTTTAACTAATGACTACACTAATATAAAATATTTTCTTAGAGCTACCTGACGAAGAGTTTAAATAAATATTTGAGCATTTATTTTAAAAATCCCCCGCTGTACTTTTTAGCCCAAATTGCACCCAATAAAAAATACAAACAATTCGTATAATCGCTGAAGAAAAAAGTCAAAATAATATTTTTGTTAGGTCGATCAATTAACATTCGTTTTCTACATTGTATTATTATAATATATCTACATTTATATATTATCAATGTCA